ATTTTTTACAAATTTTGAATAACATATTTGATTGTTTAAATGTGCGTCATCCAAAAGATCCAAGTCCTTTGAAATGTGGCTTATGCAATGACAATCCACAAGTAGAAACAACCTTACGAAAAGCTATTGACTATACAAAGACAGTTGTTATTTTTGACGGTCATAAATTCAAAGTTGTCGATTGTTTTGTTCACTTACATTTAACAATTAAAAGTTTTTTGATGCTTTGGGAGGTACTGCGAAACGAAAATAAATATTATTTATTGACGGGAAAATTAAATCAAGATTTAATGGAAATTTTTTCGCTTTAATGAGAGCTTTGTGTGGATCGAATCATCATCCAACCGCTTTATAATTCCATAAAAATTTCCAGCATTCTACTGTTATAACTTTATTGTGTCCCCCCGCTGGAACAAATTGCGAACCGGATCAAGTCGAATGTTTGTTTGATCCTTCGGATACTCTTAAAAAAAAACTACTAACTCAGATGACTATGAAAATAATAGTAAAATTAGATTGTGGGTGTTGGATGAATTTATTAACTCGGAAGACCAGGAACTTGAAAGGATTGACTCTGAAAACTGTGATATAGACATTAATGATTTTAATGAATCACAAGTAACGTTAGAAACATCAACTATGAAATATGTAGCTGCATATTTAATTCATAAAACTATGTCAAAGTTTCATCGCGAAAAGTGTTTAAAATTAAAGTAGGTAGTGATCAAACGTACAAAGATCAAAGTGATACTGTTCTGTTTAAGAAAGCCTACAACGTACCAGATAAAGATCTTGGAAACTTAAAAGTGCCTTCAGATGAATTTTATATCATTATTTTCACTGCATATCAGGTGTTAAATTCTAAATTCAAAAGTCATTAAGCGGAAAAAAATATCGCGTTTAATCTATATTTAGCTATTAAAACTGTTGTATCAAGTAAATACCAAGATTTTTTTTCTCAAGGTAGTTGTTCTGATCATCGCGATTACATACTAAAATTATTTGTTAGAATACACATTTTTTATAACTTAAAATGGATTTCTAGAGACGCTCGAGATAGTAATAAACGTATACCTCTTCATCAAGATCATCGAAACCTTGTGCTAAGCTTCAAAAATTAAACGCCAAACTATCCTAAAAAACCAACAAAAATCATCCTTTTTAATAATAGCATATTTTCAATCCATAACTTGTTGATCTTATTGTGCGTAATATCTGTAAATATGTAAAATTTACTTTTTATTAGTTAAAATCTTTTAGATACTAGAAGTAATCCATGTACATAGCAAATTATTATTACAATTATTGTTGTTACAAGTGTAAATATTATTTATTAAATTATTAATTGATCAGTGTGGATTTATTTTCGGCAACTGGAACTAGCTTTATGTGAGCTAACTGCCCCACACCTCTAATATGCTCTTTATCCTGCATGTATCCTATATCTTAATGGAAAATACTGCCACCTTTCCGTCGGTTTCCATTGAGTAATGCCATTAAAAATAAATTGTACGTATTGTGAAAGTGTATTATTGAATTTATGCTCGCATTAGTTTTTTATCGGCATTAACCAAGAGCAGTTTTTTCATTCTTTTTATTACAATGTAAAATCTTATAAAATAAGTATATTTATAGAAATATATAAAAATTTTGTTCAGATTCAAAACCCAGAGCGCAAAAGCAAATCCTACGGTCTTAACCGCTCAGCCATCGAAGAGATACATACGAGGATATTTATTAGCCATACATAAAGTGTTTAAACAGGTATGAGAGCTTTAGTTAAAATTGGAGATTTTTATTAAAACTTTTTTGTTTCAATTATTTTTTAATAGAAGATTATTGTTTTAGTGTGTCTTCCTTGGTATTTCTCATTGTTAAAAAAATTACTATCGACACCGGCAGTTCGCATGGTATTACTGATCTTTTATGCTAACATTGGTACTTACTTAAAGTGATTTTTATTGGCACAAAACATATGTTACACAGCCAGAATATCGAGCGAGTAAAATACATAACATACGTGGAGTAACATACTTCGAATTTACAGTTCAGTTATATGGGTCTACAGAGTGCGGGTTTCTTAAATCGTATTTGAAAAGGAGCTTCATTTATATACTAATTGTTCGGTGGTGATTTTTATAAACTGTCAATCAAATTCTGTACTCAGATAATTTTAAGTACTGTATTATTTTAGACTATTGTATGTTTTAAATGTAGATGTCTATGTTCACAATTAAGTCTGAGATAATGTGTACTGTTATAATATTTAGGTTGGAGAGTAGTGATGCTATGGAGAAGGGGCCAGGACCCCGGGTTTCATGTAGTCTGCGAAGCATCATTTTCCTTTCGTCTTCAAAGAGTTCGCATTGCCAAAAGATGTGTTCCGGAGTGTCCTGATCCCTTCCACATTTACATTTATCACTGTCAACTATTTTGTATTTATACAATTGGTGATTTAGTAAAGTGTGGTTGCTCCTTAGTCTGTTTATTGTGGTTATTGCTCTTCTAGGAATATTGAATTTATTGAACCACGGATTTTTTGATTCAGTAACTGCTGCATAGAAGCTAACGCCACCTGCCTTATGGGATGCCTAATACCTAGTTAAAGAGGGTACACTTAAAGATCAGCGTTGGGTTAGGTGGATTCAATATTGGAACTTTTTCCCTAGATCGTATATATAGCTGTACGATCTAGGAAGAATGTTCCGCCGAGTAGACAGCAGTGAAAGGGTATTGCCAAAGACGGTATCCACCTTAGAGAATATATACATGGAGGAAGCATTGTATGATCCGACCGCGAGACGAGATGAGAGAGACAAAAGACAAATAGCAGTACAACCTTTCTCTCTCTTACACGCCTCTGATTGGTTGGCCCCCTTCCGTATATATAGGTATAGTCGTATCCACGAGTGGCGGTCGTGGGGGAACAGAGCAGATATATGTAACCTAAGCTCTGATGAAAAAGAACTTATACATTACCAGAGAATATAGAATATATCCTCTTTAAGTATAGAAGGCCAAAGCGGAATTCCGAGCAATACACACTAAAACAATAATCTTCCATTATAACACAATTAAAACAACAAAATTTGAATAAAAATTTCCAATTTTAATTAAAGCCCTCATACCTGGTTAAACAGTTCATGTATGGCTAATGACTCAGTTAGAATGTTTGTCATCGATAGCTGAGCGGTCAAGAATGCTCGATTAGCTTTTGCGCTCTGGGCTTCGAATCTGACCTATGCTTTTTTTTTTAGGTATACATTTTCATAATGCTTGTTTTATTACGTTTCGTTTGTTTATAATTTTTAT